CAAGGAAGATACGTATATATATCTATATTTATGTGTTTACATATATTTTTTCTAAGTTATTTATACATGGTGAGAGGCCGCCTGTCAAAGGGCTTTTTGCCGACAAACAAATGTTCACGGAGAAGGAAAGAAGGAGACGATGGACAGATAAGAAATCGGAGCCAAAGCGCGGGGGTGTGAGCAATGGCGATCCGATTAGACAGAATGGTCGTTGCTCGGTTAAGCGTCTCCAGCAGCGCCTCCTGCGGCACCTCCTGCGGCATCTCCTGCAGCGCCTCCAGCAGCGCCACCGAGGCCGGCGTCAGCGGGTTTCTCGTCGACTGGTTTGCTGTCAGCAGGCTTGTCGCCGGGTTTCCCATCGACGGGCTTATCACCAGCGGCGGGTTTCCCATCGGCGGGCTTGTCACCAGCGGCGGGCTTCCCGTCGGCGGGTTTCTTGCCATCGGTGGGCTTCTTTCCATCCTTGCCATCGACGGGCTTCTTTCCGTCCTTGCCGTCAGCAGGCTTCTTTCCGTCCTTGCCATCGACGGGTTTCTTTCCGTCCTTGCCGTCAGTATGCTTGTCTTTGTCTCCGTTCTTGGCGTGGTCTTTTGATTTGGGGTCGTCTCCCTTCTTCTTGGGGTCGCCTCCAGCCTTCGACTTGTCGGTCTTGTCAGCAAGCTATGGATGAAATTCGATAGGGGGTTATCAGTTTGAGTATCGGTTTAAAATCTAGGAAGGGGGGGGGGGTTGAAAAATAGTATACCTTGGCGGTTAGTTTGTCGATCTTGGCTTGTTCCTGCTCGATCTTTTGCTTCCAGGTGTCGACTCTCTGCTTTGATTTGGTGATAGCATCTTCGATCTTCTTGTGCTTCTCTTCCTCCGTTAACGGTTTTCCACCAGGCGCCTTGGTGGGATCATCGCCTTCTGGTTTGACTTCTTTTCCGGGGCCGGCACCAGGTGCAACTCCATTCTTGGGTTCTTCTCCTGGAGGTAGTTTGGGATCTCCTCCGGTTGATGGTGGTTGAATGGTTGGG